ACCGGGGGCTGGCCATATTGTGCAAGTATCTCTATCTCCTTGGTTTCAAGAGGCAGATTATAGTTATCATTGAGTGGAGGTGGAACGCTATGATATCCTAGACCCTCACCCTATTTGTCTTTCCACTTTAATTGTTTCTCAATCATAGTTTCAACTTTCTTACTTGACACATCAAATTTCTTAAAATTAAAATATGCATTTTCAAACTTTATTTTCAATGTGTCAAGTTCAGCAGTTAGATTGACAATCTTTTCTTGAGCATAATCATAGTGTTCACATTTAATGTTGTATTCTTCCTTAATTCTTTTAAGATCTTTGGTTTGGGCATCTAGTTTTTCTTTTAAAGGTTTTTGGGCCTTTTTGAGAGTATATCCTTCATATTTAAGGTCCTTAATGTCCCTAATTAATAAATCATGTTGATCACGATAATGTTTAAATTTAGCTTCACAGGACTGAGAGCATGAAACTTCATTAACCTCATTGGTACTGTTGTAAGAATTCATTATTTACCAAAAATAAATGCTTCTCTGACCAAAAATACCAAAGGATGGTTGAATTAATGCTAACCGAGAACCTAACTGAATACGAGGCTTCTCAAAACCAAGAACAAGGCTTCTGAACCGAGAACAAGGCTTAAAAACCGAATACGAGGCTTTGGGACCAAAATCTCAATAACCGAGAAGCTAGACCGAAAATGCGAACCCAATTATGTAGTGATATGGACATATTTAGTTATAAAATTCATGCATTATCTTAATACTTTATGTTGATTTTATCTTATTTAATGAAGAAAGGGTGCTTAGTTAGTTTAGAATTTCATTTTTCAGCAACAATGACATGCTCGGATGGAAAAGGAAGCGAAACTAGCGATTGGAAGCTTGGAAATTGGATTTTGAAGAAAGAAGGTTGTTGCTGGACAACTTGACCACTCGTCAGTGTTTTGGCCATATCTCATGAACCGTAACTCCGATTGACGAGATTCAAAATGTTCTGAAAACTAGACACAATTTCGGACGACTTTAGTGTTTTTGAGAAAATGTTGATTCCAAGAAAACTCGACAAGTTGATTAGAAAGTTCGCGATTCTTGACGCTGACTTGCCGTACACAAGATTTTAATGACCAACTCGACGAGTTGGGTCACAACTCGTCGAGTTGGCTCTGTTTTCATAACTTATATATAGAAACACTTCTCATTCGAACCCTAATTAATTGGGAAGCTTTACGATTTTTGGAGGCCAGAAGGGTTCTTGGAGTTGTGGTTTTCGAGATTTCAACTTAGATATCAATTTGGAAGAAGATCAAAGGCAATAACACATTACTTTTATCTTAATCTTTTGCATGAACCATGTTTCAATCATTAGATTTCGTTTTTAGTTTGTTATTTGCTGTAGATATGAGCTAGAAACTCATTACTTCTGTTTAGACTAGATGAATTTATGAATATGGTGTGATTTTATGGCTTGGATTAATTTGATTTGGTGAATTTTGTTTTGTTAAGCTTGTTAAAGATCCTCATGTGTTAACAATAACTATTTTCTATTAATTATCAAGTATATTAAGTTGCATGAACATCTCTTAATTGCTTGTCTCGTATAATTTATGTGAAAACAATGTTATATGCCTAGGAATAGTGAACATGAAACTAGGGGTTAATTATAAAATAGGTAAGTCAATGTGTGAGCTTGTGTGACGAACCATCATACAAGAAGTTAATTGAATTAGCAATTTAATTAGCTAACTACAAGTCTTACTAAACCCGAATCAATAAACTAGGAAACTCATTAGTTTAACCAACTGGCCACTTTTGAATTGGTTTGTTTTCTAAGGATTAGTAATAGTGAACATGAACCTAATCACATTAATCGGTAGCCAATGACAAATTAATCCATTGCACGTGCCATAAAATCAACCATAAGAATAAGTAAGTCGAACCTGAACAAAAGTCTCCTTTAATATTGAGTTTAGTTGATTTTTATTTGTTTTAGCGGTTAATTGCTTTGTTTGAGTGTTAGATAAGTGCTTAAGTTTCTAGTCTTGAAAAACTAGAGAAAACCTCCTTTCTTTTATTATTTGTTTTTTAACATAATTCTAGTAGTTAGTTTATTTACCGTTCCCTGTGTTCGGTACCCTGCTTGCTTAACTATGCCACCATTTGACAGGTACACTGCCTTTTGTGTGTCTAAATTATATTTAAAAAGTAGGACTAAAACTAGTGCAATAAACAGACATCATGTAGACCGAAGACTCTAACCGAGATCTCAAAACCGAAAACCGAAGTTGACCTAACCGAGAATGCGAGGGGCTGAAGTGCAGACCGAAGACGTGGACCGAGAAACGAACTGAAAATGAAGATGTACTGAGAACTTGAGTACCGAGAACCCTAACCGAGAATGCGAAGCCAAGACCGAGAACACTGAAGCTGAGAACTCTGACCGAGAATGCGAGGCCGAGAACTCTGACCGAGAATGCGAGGCCGAGAACCTTAACCGAGAACGCGAGGTCGAGAACCATGACCAAACCGAGAACCAGTAGCCGCCACCGAGAACAGCGAGGCAGAGATCAGAGCGCATCTGACCTAACCGAGAACGAAGCTAGCCGCCGAAGACTCTTGAAGCCCTATCCGAAGACGAGGTTTGCCGCTGAGAACTCCGAGGGTTGTGACCGAAGACCTTAAAAAAAACGCCAAAAACACGAAATTTTCAAGTTTTAAAAGCCAAACTCGATCAAAACTCTAAAATAATGAAGAACACGAAAAACAAACAGCCAAAATTTCGTCAAAAATAAATCAAAAATGCCAGAAACTCCAAGAAAAACTCCAAGAAACGGTTAAAATCTTGCCAATTCGATTGATACTAATCCTTAACTCTGATACAAATTGTAAAACCCAATCTTGTGATGTATCAATCGATTTCACTATGATGGTGCGGAATCCCAATCTAGTGAATGATGCAAAATGTAATATGGAATAAGAACACAATGATTAATCTTCAGTGCACACTATTATTGATTAATAGTCAGGTACATGAAATTCACAATGACGCTCTTGGTTCTCTCTGTCTCTCTAAAACATGATATGTGCTTCTTGGAATGATCAATTGAATGACTCATATAACACTATATATACCTAGACCTAAATACAAAGGCCAAGCCCAATACCCAAAACCGAAATCACTTACATCCGAGATCAAGGAGATTTCGGTCCTAAACCGAAGACTATAAAAAGCATTGAAAAGCAAATTATAAACCACAAATTTATGTCCTAACATAGATGATATGCTATCTTCTGGAGTCTGTAGTTGATTCAATATTTAACCAAAATATGATTTTTTTTACATTCTAAATTAAAGTACAAACACTAAATTACATGCAGAAAAAAAATCAAGTAAGACTTCATATGAGTGAGTTATGTACATTTTAAAAGTGGGACATATTCCAAAAGAAAAAATGCCGAAACAGAAAATACACAACATTGATATGTTGTCTTCCAAGGCCTATAGCCGATTCAATATCTAACCAAAATATGTGTTTGTACAATCTAAAATGAAGTACAAACACCAAATTACATGTTGAAAAAAAATTCAGTAATTTCGACTTCATACGAATGAGTTATGCATATTTAAAAAAAGGAGAAAGATTAAAAAAAAGTGTTGAAACAGAAAAAATGCAACATCGATATTCTTTCTTTCGGGTCATGTATCTGATTCAATATCTAACTAAAATATACGTTTGTACAGCCTAAAATGAATTACAAACACCAAATTACATGTTAGAAAAAAAATCAAGTGATTCCGACTTCATATGAATGAGTCATGCGTATTTTAAAAAATGGAAAAAATGTCAAACCGGTTCCGATTTTTAGAACAGAGACTGGTTTTCATAATGAAGAACTGGTAACCAGACCTTATTACCAATTCTGATTTTGATTTCGGTTCCGGTCCGATTCCGGGTCGAACAATTCTAAAGCTCATCCCTATATAATATATATATAAGTATCAATTACATGTAAATGTAAAGTTTTATATGAGGGTTTACATAAATTTAAAGGGAAATCTTCGAAAAAGTCCTAAAATTTTACCCTAATTTACTAAAAAATCCCAAACTAAAATTTGTTTACAGAAAAACATGAATTACCGGTAAAAATGGCGATTTAACCTATTTTTCCCGGTTTACCGGTTTCATTAAAGTCCCATTATTTTACCATAATTTACGATTAACTCCCAAACTAAAATTTAGTGATGATTTTGCCCTTTTCTCCATGTAACATACATTTTACCGATTTCATTGTTGACATGAACGCCTAGTTATTAAATGAGTTGATGAGATGAATATGTTAGGTTATATAATTTTATGTTTACCATAAAACTTGATATCCTGATGCATTGTATATTTTTTAGAATATAAAATACATCCAACGAAGACTGCAATAATTACATAAACTAGCAACAACTTCGTTATTTTTACGTTTATAAGAAATTTCTAATTGTCTATCTAAACTTATGTAACTCAATATATTCATCTCATCAGACATCAACTCATTTCCTGTTGTTTTTTTTTCCTGGAAACATATATTTTATTGGTTTCATTGCTGACCTAAATGCATAGTTATAAATGAGCCCATGAGATGGATATCAAATTTTACAGTAAACGTAGCATTATATAACTCATCGCATTCATCTTATCAGCTAATTTAATGACCAGGTGTCCAAGTCAACAATGAAACCGATAAAATATATGTTATATGGAGAAAATAGTCAAATCATCACTAAATTTTAGTTTAAGACTTATTCGTAAATTAGGTTTAAATAATGAGACTTTAATGAAACAGGTAAACCGGGAAAAAGGGTCAAATCGTCATTTTTACCGATAATTCATGTTTTTTTGTAAACAAATTTTAGTTTGAGATTTTTTCGTAAATTAGGTTAAATTATATTACTTTTTCGAAGATTTTCCAAAAAGTTAAATTACATAAAAACTCTTATCTTTATATATTCTCATGATACAATATCCAAATCCTTGCCTTTTTATTACTTCCTTAAGAAGAAGCTCCTCTTCTGTGCGCACCCACAGATGTCCACGGGCTTGAGCGTATCGATGGCGTCTTCTACAATCCCTTGTTGTTCACCCCCCGCTTCTTATTCATCGCCGTGGTTCCGACGAACCACGGTTAAGACCCACTGTTCACTGCTCGCTAGAAACAGTATCAAAGCTCCGTTGCCTCCGCTAAACCCTAAAGATCCATTTCTTTCCAAACTCGCATCACTGGCCGCTAATTCACCGGAAAATCTCCTTAATCGACCGGTTAACTCCGACACGCCGCCGTACTTGGACCTTTTTGACTCTCCAACGCTCATGGCTACTCCCGCTACCGTACGTAACATCTATTTCTTATTAGTTATTACCTAATTTTGTGTGTTTGTTTCGTATATCCTTGTAGTCGTTTTATAACCTGTTGCTAAACTAGTACTAGCCCTAGCTCAATTTTGAGCAAATAGACAAGGTATTTACATCTCGTGCATTTAAAAACCACTAATCATGGAGTATACTTTATATTTTGGGTTGTGTTTTAGAAACTGGTTCTACTGTTAACGAATTACATGGGGCCTTCCCTTAAATACAAGTGGAAAACACATTGTAGTGCCTTATTTCTGCTCTTATAGAAACTAAGGATGTTGCTTGTTGTATTATTCTAGGATGAATAAAGAACGTATTGTAAAACCAAAGTTGAAACGATATGAATTTCAAGTCTTTACACAAATCAAGCAGTTGGTTCTGAGATTTGTTTCTGAAAGTGAGAGCCTTGACATGGAACCAAGGTTCTTCACATGTGCCATATTTTTCTTATAGCTTTTTTGACACATATCCATGGGCTCATTGTAATTCTAGCCCTTTTTGATGATAGGGTTATATGCAAGAAATGGAAATGTAATTTCATTGATTTGTTTATTACATCATCCTAATTTCATTTCTTTCTATTACATCATTGTAGTTTGAAAAAAAAGTACCCAATCATAGGAATGTCGTTCAAACAAGTGTTTAATCATCATCCTAATTTCATTTCTTTCTAGCCCTTTTTGATGATAGGGTTATATGCAAGAAATGGAAATGTAATTTCATTGATTTGTTTATTACATCATCCTAATTTCATTTCTTTCTATTACATCATTGTAGTTTGAAAAAAAAGTACCCAATCATAGGAATGTCGTTCAAACAAGTGTTTAATCATGACATGCGATGTGATGGAGACCATATTAGGGATGAATCACCTTTTATCATTAGTAAATTCTCCCTTAATTGTGTGATGGTTAATAATATCTTAATTGTTTGCATTACATTTTACTTGATAAAACTTAAATCAATAACAAAATAATCATAATTTTTTCTAATAGGTGGAAAGATCTGTCTCTTACAATGAACACAGGCCAAGAAGGCCACCTCCAGACCTTCCATCATTGCTTCTCCATGGAAGAATAGTGTACCTTGGCATGCCAGTGGGTAGCTTGTTCTTGTTCTTACTTCCATTTATTTGTTATTATAATAGCATCCAATTTTCTTTTCTTTCTATTAGAGTTATGGGAAGAAATGAAAGTAGGATGCTATAATAAATAAATCAACAAAAGTATGTTGCTATATCTATCTATACATAAAGACTTATGGAGGCGTTGTATGATTATGTATCAGTTGGTGCCAGCTGTCACTGAGCTGATCATTGCAGAGTTAATGTATCTTCAATGGATGGATCCCAAAGAGCCTATATATCTTTATATAAATTCTACAGGAACTACTCGTGATGATGGTGAATCAGTGAGTTTGTTTTCTTGAGCTTCCTTCTTTTAGCTTGCATGTTTTGGGTTGATGTCATCATAAATCAATAAAAGTAGTTTGCTATCTTTTGATAAAAGAATGATTTTATATGATTAGGTTGGAATGGAGACAGAAGGTTTTGCAATTTATGATGCTATGATGCAATTGAAAAATGAGGTAACTTTTATAAGATCTCTGAACAAGTATATGCATATTCATTCAAACAATCATTTGCAACCTTTTATGTGCAGATACATACAGTTGGAGTAGGGGCTGCTATTGGTCACGCATGTCTATTGCTTGCTGCAGGGAGTAAAGGGAAAAGATTTATGATGCCACATGCAAAAGGTACTCATATAATAATTTATATATTTTGTTATATATCTTTTCTTTATTTATTGTATTTGTATTTGAAGTAATGAGTATGTTACTTTTAGCTATGATACAACAGCCTCGTATTCCATCATCTGGATTGATGACAGGAAGTGATGTTTTGATACGTGCAAAGGAGGTTGGTTTTAACATTTAAATTTGCTTTTTTTTTTTTACCAACTTCACCTTTTTACTATTTATAAATTATAATTACTTACAGGTCATCATTAACAAGGATACACTTGTTGGTCTCTTGTCAAAGCACACCGAAAATGTGAGTCATTGCTCTTTTTTCTTCTCTCTTTTAGGCTTTGTACCGTGATTGGGACAAAAATCACCCAAAAATATGGAAAAGATGTTGATACCCTTCTCATCTTCATCATCTTAAATAGCCCTAGAAAGCTTGTCTAGTCCAATTTAATTCAATCCCATGTAATTGTCAAGTTAACCTTAGGAGGTTGTGTGTGTTACATGGAACAAGAGTGGAGATAGGGAGTGATAAAAGGATGAGGAGGGCATTTATGTCTTTTGCACAAATACACAAGAAAAGAAACACTAATTGGATTGGATGAAGATATAATATACTATATTGATTGTTGTTTGATTAAATCAGTCAGTGGAGACAGTAACACAAGTGATGAGAAGGCCTTTTTATATGGATTCCACCAAAGCTAAAGAGTTTGGTGTAATTGATAAGGTAAACCCAAACCCAACCCATGTTCTAATAATTCACTAATATTTTTTGTATTATTGTATATCTTATTTAATTTATATTATAATCATGTGATTTGATTTGATTTGGTGTTTAGATACTGTGGCGTGGTCAGGAAAAGATCATGGCAGATGCAGCCCCACCAGAGGCGTGGGATAAGAATGCTGGGATTAAGTCTCTTGATGCAATGTAGATTATTCTCTTATACTCTACTCTACTCTAGGTAAAATGCCCTTCCTTGCTTCCCTTGATAAGTATGCTGTAATTAAATCTCTTGACAGCTTAAAAACTAATGTTATCAGATTTTGGGTGTAGGATTGGATTGGATTGAACAGACAGACGACAGGGATGGAATGAATATTGAAGTTCCCTGTTGTAAGAAATATGATTAACCTGTTGTTTTCGAATCAACCCAACCCAACCCAAAGATTACACTAAATTGTGCCGGATAGTGTTCTACAACATAACTTAGATATATGGCATTATTACCGAATCCTCAGAGTAGGAGGCTTATTTCAGTATTTCACTGTTGAAAACTTGTATACTGAATCATGCTTATTTTTAAAAAAGAAAAAAAAACTCGTAGCCATATATATTGGAATTGGAACTGTCATATTGGATGGAAGATCTCTCTAGACACCCGTGTGCTCACCTCACAAGGTTTCTGACCTTGACCTTGGCCTTGACCAGACCCACAACAGGATGGATACAAATTAAAAATGCAATTTAGATCGGTTTATGTGAAAATACATTAATTTCAGTTATATTTTATTGTTAAATACATAAACATTTTATGGTTATATATAAGGGTGAGATCGATACTGGAACAGTGGGACAGAACTGGTATTGAACCAAAAGTTCCGAAACAAAATGGCACAAAAGTAATTCAGTTCGAGAAAATAGATTTAGTTTGAGCTTAGAAGTGAGAAAAATACTAACCAAAAGTTCTGAAACCAAAATAGCACACAAGTATTGATTTGGTACCATCAATATTTTTGTTCACCTTTCGTTATAAAAGATAATATATATCTTTTCTTGTTTTGAGTTAAACAATGCTTTTCTCTACTAGTTGGAAACAAAGGATTACTACTAATTAAACAACTTTGTTTATTAACTAAGAAATCTTGATATATTTCAAATATGTACAAACATGAAACAACCGTTATCATTACAACAACTTTACGAAGTGTTTTATAAAAATCTTTCTATAATTTTTTTCTAAAGGTTAAAAGAAAAGCAAAAAGGATTTGACCAAAGTTAGAGTAAAGCTCCAATGTCAACTGAACTCTTCAACAACTGTTTTTTTAATTTTACAAATAAATTTTTTTTTTATATACTACATGACAGATTTGAGTTTTTGGCCCCAAGCCTTTAATAGAGTCGCCTACTTGCCCCACCCATTAGCATACCGGATAGCCTTACCGACTTACCGTCGTCACGACACAGTTCGTTCATAAAATAAAACACCAGAATTTGAGTTATTCCGTGAAACGAATCAACGATTAGTTTTCCTCAGTATTTACAAGCAGTTTACCTGCAAAACGATTTTTTTTTCCTAAGAAAAAAACCAAACAAACAACCTAAAAGGCCAGTCTCACTCAACTTTCCTGTGCACTATCCCCCCTAACTCTTTCCCTGAGCATTAATCTGATAACGATGGAGGGTCGTTGGTTCCAGAAGGAAGATCGGTGGAAAGACAGAGCGCTATGTCTACAACACCGCCTCAGAGATCGTTTCCGAGTCGTCGTCGACCAACACCGTCGCCGACATAGGTCCAGTGGGTACGTTTCCTCTGCGACGCAACCCTGGCTTCAACGCTTTCGCCATTTCCGAAGTCAAACATTAGCCACTTCTTCCACTTTATACCGTAAAAGAGGTTCGGCTAAAACCTACTACAATTGAATTGCCTGCCTGTATCCATAATTCATATCAGTAACTTTTATCTGCGTGAATTGAAAGAATCAGTAAGATAATCTTATTTTATGGCAATAATTTTTTTCTTGACCTAAGGTGATACCTGCGTATATGAATTGATGTGGGACATAAGGAACACATGTGTAATCAGAAGTGGTAATGTTCAAGATATATGAAATCGTTTTAGAATTTCTTGTGTACAAGAATTGCAGTTCATTTTATGGTAGTGAAAATGGGCATTATTGTTGAAGTCATTTGCTTATAAATCTATCAGCTAAACCTATATGATTAACACATGAACAACAGTACACAATCCTTGTTGATTTTGTGAAGGTGATGAAGAAGCTATATATAATTAGCAAAGTAAATCAAACACTCCTTTAAACTTCTAGATATAGAGTACATGTCATGATGTTAGTGCATTTTTCTGTATCTAGCACATATGATTAGCAAAAGTAAATCAACTGTGTTTTTTTTAATATGTAATCTGCAGTTAGCAAAGAGTTTGATACAGAAGAGGATTCAGTTCTTACCCAAATACTTCAGGCTGTTGCTGTTCCTGTTATTGGAAATGTTTGCCATGTTTTCATGCATGGACTAAATCATGTCCAGGTAAATGAAATGATCTCAATTAAGTCTCCTAATTTGTAATCACCTCAAAAACAAATGCTGGAAGTAGTTCTTGTTTTGTATTGCAGATATATGGAGGTGAAAAATTACAACAAGGATTGCTCAACAGACCTGATAAGACACCACTTATCACAGTAAGCCAATGATGAACATTGTGCTATGTTGTTTTTTCATCATTCTTCTACATATCCTTGAATGGGTTGTTTAATAAATGTAGGTAAGCAATCATATTGCTTCCATGGATGATCCATTGGTTATTGCTGCACTTCTTCCTAAAAGTCTTCTTTTGGATGCTCGTAACTTGAGATGGACACTTTGTGCTACTGATCGTTGCTTCCGTAATCCACTCACTTCTGCATTTTTTAAGTGTGTTAAAGTTCTTCCTGTCTCTCGTGGTGAAGGAATTTATCAGAAGGTATGGGTTCACGTGCTTTTTTCCTTGTGCAATGATCCTTTAATTTCTTTTCTGGGGTTGATTAGTTATATTTGACCTATCAAAAAAACATCTAATTGGAGATGCATTCATTCTCATATGGTTAATTTTTGGTTAGGGTATGGATGTTGCCATTGCAAAACTAAATAGAGGTGGGTGGGTCCACATATTCCCTGAAGGCAGTCGTTCCCGAGATGGTGGATCAACTATGGGTTCTATAAAGAGAGGCGCTGCAAGGTTAGGATCTCATTTTCTCTTATATGCCTATTGCCTAAGGCCTAATCTTATCTTCTTACTGGGTGTGGTAAGAGACTGGGTCTGGTATGACTCAGTCAGATCTGACTCAATCAGCAACTATCAAACAAGGGTAGAGCCAACAAAACAATTAGGGAAGGGAAGTCTAGTGTAGGTAGACTGTGTGAGGTGATCAAGAATTCATGATCAACCATTTAGCTTTTAGTTTTCAAGTGGAAGGCTTTTTATTGTTTGTCTGACCTAAATATGGTTAATTGTCGCCTTTTTGTTGTCTTTATCCAATACTCAATATGGTTAAGGCCTAAGGGTTAAATGCAAGAAATAGAAAAGGTACTTTTATTGATTTGTTTATAATATTATAGCATCCTACTTTCATTTCTTACCATAGAACATTCTACTTTGAATAAATCTACCAAATTATAACAATGTCATCCAATACAAAGCAATTTTCACTGCTATAATTGGATAGTTTTTTCAAAGCATGGTATCCTAATAAGAAAGAGAATTCAAAGTACTTCAATATGAAGAAATGAATGTACCATGCTATAAGTACACAAAAAATTTGAAAATTCTTCCACATTGTTAATCTTGGATGCTATAATTTTTCATTCAAAGGGTTATTTTTGAATTAAAGTTGAATTAGCCATAATTGTTTACTAAATTTGAAAATTCTTCCATAGGTTAATCTTGGATGCAGACAATGCCCCGATGGTTATTCCATTTGTGCATGCAGGGATGCAAGAGATGATGCCTGTTGGAGCCTCGTTTCCTAGGGTTGGCAAAACGGTACAAATATTTGGAACCTGTTCTGTCATGTCATGTCATGTTCTGTTTGTCTTGTCATGTGTTGTCCTGTTGCAAAAAACACTATTCATGTTTCTAATCGGTGTGAAATTTTTAGGTGACGGTACTTGTGGGTGATCCAATCGACTTCAAAGATGTACGAGACTTGGAACAGGACAACACTGTTCCAAGGGGAAATCTATACGATGTTGTCTCTACAAGGATTGGTGATCGTCTCATTAAACTAAAAGCACAACTTGACAAGTTACTTCAAGTGCAAACCGACGATGTTGTTCAACATTTTGATGATAATAATGATAATAATAGCAATAAACAGGATCACGAGGAGTATTTTAAGGTTGAATCTTCTTACAAAGGCTTTGGGATTGACCTCATGGGTTTTGCTGCAAGAGGTTTGTTTGTGAATCAGAAAATGAAGGAACATGTGGTTGAAGGGGGGATAAGTATAAGGCCTTTGCCTTTGAGGGCATGGAACAGTTTTTGGAGACAACTGTTGCATAATAATGATAATGGAGTTGCTTCACTCTATGTTGTCGGGGGCCACTTGAGACTTTTACGTCCATAGAAATAGAAAGCCTTGTTTGTACCGTGTGTTTGGCATGCATTAGACTGGTAGCGAGTGAATGAGATAAAATAAAAATGTGGGACAAAGACTCCCCTCCTCATCTCTTGTCTCTTGTGTGTGAGTGTCCTTATTCTCATCCTTCAAAACAGTCTTAGAAAGCTTGTAAAGCCCTTTTTGGGTAACAAACAAACATGCAAATTGTTCATTTTAGATTAAAATGTATAACAACTTTTTGACTCATTGTTGAATGCTTATTTATATGATAAATTGTCATTATTTGCCGTTTTATGTAACCTACACATATTATGCAACCATGTTATCTTGTTAAATATGCTACATGATATATTGTGGTTATAGAACGACATCCCATTGCATATTTGACTAAGAAACATGCAAAAATGGGGAGAAACTGTGAAAAATCCTTTGTGTAAAGTGTAAACAGACATTAGTTAAGGCTATAGAGGCGAAGATAATAACTTACTTTGGCTTTTCCTTTCTCATTTATATATTTACTAACGCATGCTGACAGCTGGAAATTATGTTATAATGACTAATAGAGAAAAAGGGAAAATATGTCATCATGTCTTATTACACATAAGGCTAAGGGGAGTGGTAACCCTCCTAGCACCTTGGCACGTCAGCTTTTTAATTGTCATTTCATTTTTCTTCATTTAGCACCTAATCTTAACATTTAGTAGGGAGTGGTAGCATCAAATATTGTGTTATTTTTATTTAAAAAAATAATAATAAAAGGAAAAGAAAAAAGCAGCAAGCCAATCAAAATCCATTTCCCTTCTCTTTCTCTCTTTCCTCTCGCTACATGACTAGCGAGCCACTTTTGGCGACGACCTTAGCGAGTTTGAACGGAATGGCTTTGGCGATCTTAGCGAGCTGGAGGCGAGTCCCTAGCGAGGGCCACTCCCTCCAGCCTAAGAGTTAAGTGCCCACAAAAAACCAAAACCCCCACATGTTTCTTTTTCTGCAAAAATACTGACAACCGAAGAGCAAGTTTTGTTTCATGGAAATGACAAGTCACCATGGATATAGTTATCATTCTTCACAATTCAAGGCCTATTATACACTTTTTTTTAAATATCCAAATTTAATTTAAGCTTTTCTATAGAACACAACCTCACCCACCCTCAAAATTAAAACACCAAAAGGGCCGGATGTTGACCGGTTGACAATCAATGTTTGACCCCAACAAAACACAAACCTACTTCAGCCTGAGCCTGCAACTCTTCCAAGACCTTTACAAGATGTTCCCGAGGCATGTTTATGTCCGCCTTCTCTGCAAGCATTTTCCTCAATCTTCATCCATCCATCCACATTCACATGCACATAACAAAATAACAATTAAAAAAATAAAAACCCTTACTATAAATGCTACTTCAAAAATATATGTTTCGACTTGTTCTTACCAATATAGGTAAAAACAATATATGTATGGGTAAAAAAATTGTACCTTCGAACAATTGCAGAGTCTCCATGACCTGAGCAAACTATTAGCATGGCATTGTTAGGTAAATTGGAGTAAATGTTTTTTATTCTGGAATTCAATTGATTAAGAACTTGCTTCAAATCAGGTGTGACTGTGTACTTGATGCTTTTTCTAGCCTTGGACTTGTTATTACTACAAGTAAGCAAAGCTATCATCTCAGCCACTTTGGTATTCAATGCCACGTCATCATCTGCTTGTTTCTTGTAATAACTACTCAGTTCTGTAAACTGGGCCCACACAAAATGTACTTTCTCGTTTTTTACCTGTGGTTAATTAAATGGTTAAAGTAATAGCCTCCAATACATATGTAAATGTAAGTACATTGTTATTTATTGCATTTAGCCCATAATTATAGGATAAGTAAGTAAAGTACTTCTTTAATGGCTTTCGAAAGAGCTTCATCATCACAAGTCACAGGAATGGAATGTGATGATTCTGAAGCATATCTTTTCACTATTGATATATTATCAATAAAAGATGAGGCCTTCCCAGAGTCACCCAAAACTGTAAGAAATTTTTTCCTTGTAAATGATGGAGGTCGACCAAAATCAGGCCCTGTTTCAAAAAAAACAAGTGGATAAATTATACTGAACATAAAAACTATAGTGAAAAATTTTCAACTATGAGATCTCATCATTGCCAGTTGCCAAAAGAATGATAGGTTAACACTTTTTGTTTTATATAAAATTAGGGTGATATTACCCCCGCCTTGCGAGGGTGTAATTTGTAAATTTTGTATTAGGTAGGACCATTTTTGTAATTTTTTTAAAATGTGGACTGTTTCTGGAAATTAAAGGGACAGTTTTAGTAACTTATTTTCTACACAGGGACCAAACCTGCCAACATACGTAAGTCTTAAAACACATGGACCTTTTCTGTAAAACAAATCTGCACATGGACCTTTTCTGTAAATTACAGCGACTGTTTTCGTTATTTATTTTCTATGTAGGGAACAAATTCAAACCTCACTTTTGTAAATTTGATATTAGGAAGGGGCATTATGTAATTTTTTTAACATACACACCATTCCTGTAAATATAATTCTGCACAGGGACCTATTCTGTAAATTACAGGGACCGTTCTTGTAATTTACTTTCTATGTATGGACCAAACATGTCAAACCTGCAAATTTGCCAGTATACAAAAGGTAAAGGGGTGGAAAATGTAGGTGTTCAGATTTGAGAGGGGTAAAACTGACATTTTACAAAGTAGGGGGTGGAAAGTGCAAATGTATCAAAGTCTAGGAACCAAATCTGCCAACATAAGAAAGTTTTGTGGCCAAAGTCTAAAGTAACAAACTTTTGTGGCCAAAGTCTAAAATAAGAAACTTTTGTGGCCAAATTCTAAACCCATAAAACCCTAATATGTCTGATTAAATTGGTCTAAGTAATCGGGACAATATATTTGATACATAGTTAAAAGAAAGAATAAAAAATGAGTACAAGAGTTTTAAATTTTTTTACCATTTTTAATCTTTAAAAAGGCTAGATCCATTGCAGCTTTTGCATCCTCAATACTATCATGTCCATTTCCTGAACCTTGTATTTCTCTCTCAAGGAATTTCCTTGTGAGGACACGAAGTGCAATTTTGTAGGTCCCACCTCGCGAATGCTTGTATAAAACAGCAGTGTCAATCACCAAATTATGACAGATTTTTAAAGCCAATAAATCATTCTCCAATGAATGTCCAACTAAAATCGTTTCTCTATTAACTATCTGTAGAAACTCTTCCTGAAATTAAACCATGGTTTAGTAATTAGTATTTAGTAATTGGTAATTGTTGATTAATTTAAAAAACTAGACAATAGAATTTAAAAAACGGAAAACCTGAATGTCTTTTAGAGTTGTTGTGACTCCATTCAACATCTCACTAGTTATTCCACTATACCTGAATACAGAAACCTCTTATTAATATTATATACATATAAAAAGATTTAATTGGTTTGCTTATGTGGAAATTCAAATAGAAGAAAGTACCTAGTGTTGTAATCAGTTATTGCATTTGTTGGTTTAACCAATTTATCCAACAAAACCTGAAAAATACACCATAACTTTATTGTAAGATGATTAGGTTAAGTTTTATAAAACTTAATTCAGTAGACTATATATATATATATATATATATATATATATATATATATATATATATATATATATATATATATAGGTGTTTTCTTTTGACTTAATGGATAAACTTTGTATTTTATTTCAGCTACTTGTTTATTATAATAAGAGATAAGAGATTAAAGCATGATTAAATTTAAACATTATGGAATGAGGAAGCTCAAATTTTAAGCTACCTGTCCTTTAAAATCTATCAGTGTTACTCTTGTAAGCTCAAATCCCTCATTTGTGATACACTGAAATATTTCATGAAACAATATAAATGAAAAGGTATTCACCAAAATTATTATTAAATTAAATCTTTGTAACAATTAACAAAATCCTTACCATTTCACAATCAACTCCCACTATTTCATGGGTGGGTTTTCCAGATGTTGCAGGAAGAGTTGAGAGAAAATCTGAAATAAAACAGTCAAAAGTTAAGACCTGAAACATTTGTTTTAAGCAAAAACTATCGATTGATAAATTAAAAGCAATGTAAACAAAGAAATACAAGAGGAAGAATCTGGTAACCTGATTGATCATGGATGTATCCATTATCTTCTAATTCCTTTGTGGTAAGGGTATAATAGGAAATTGGAAATGGGATGCTTTTCATGAGCTCAGAAAATGCCAAATCATCAGGAATAGGCCATGTTCCTGAATAAATATCAAATAACAATTATTCTTATTTCAATTTCACATGCTAATTAATATCTACCAAAATCTTTTGATTATTATGCAAATACGTATAAACATGTCTTATATCATCCATAAATAAATTAAGTATAGCAAATAGTTGCATTAGCATAGCATTTTTACAGGGGCAAAATGACCAAAATGTCCTTGGAGTGAACTTAAAAAATTTGTTACCTTGTTCAGATATAGGTCTAGATTTCTTTGTAAATGTATCTGCTTCTCTTTTTCTCTTAACCTTACATGTAAGAAGAGCATCTATAGTCTGCATTCCATCTGATACACAGCTGTGAAAAGATTAAAACATGATTGCTATGAGTCTATGAGAATAGTTATTAGTTATATTCAATAAACAAGTGAAGGGGCAATTATGTCAAAACACCAACCTGGGCGCTAACACTGCCCTTGGGATGCCACAACATTCTTTTAAGCTGTGTAGTATTTTAGACTGTGAGAGGTAGATTGCTGCATCAAGACCAGGGACATAAAGCATAACCACTTTTGGAATCAGAGGCTTATTCTGCAAATGAAAAACTAATCTTTTTAAACAAAAACATTGTTCATTTGTTTATATGCAAAAGATCCTACATTGAATAAACTCTATTAGAAAAGGAAAAGAATGAAGGGTCACAACCTTAATGAAAACCCATGATGGCATGAATCCTTCAGCAAGTACCCATGTTATAAGCCCCTGAACATCCTGTTAAGTTTACATAAACCCAAATCTTAAAACATTTAAACTTTAATGACTAAACTATGTAACTTATTGTAAAACTTTATGGCTGCATTTGTTCTGGGACAAGACTTTAACAAACAGGTCTTATGTGATTATTGAAACTCACTTCCAAGTTAAGAGTTGAATTCGCTTCTGGGGTCTTAAACTCAACACCTGCTTTTGCCTGTATTACATCCACGATAAAAGTTATAATACACCACAACCAAAAGAAGCAAATGTGAAACATCAAAATTTAACTCAGTATATGCCCATCGATTATTTCAGTCATTCAGCTCTTCTCAAGACCTCTTTTCCTTGTGAAATCTCCCAAATATGGTACTTTTTAGCTATCAATCTTAATGTTTTTTTATGAAACAATAACAACAGTTTTAGTAATAAGCCATTAAAGTCGGTCTTTTTGGGCATATAGTAGTATATTAGGTTAATACATCTGCCAGTTTAAAGAAAAAAAAAATGAAGATTACTGAAAGAACCTGGGGGCCATAGACGTCAAAAAACGCGTTGTTTGTATCGCTAGTAGTGCAGACTTCATCTCCTTTGGAATTGTTTATCGGAGAGCCCATGGTCTCCGACGACTATTAGAAAACGTCGGTGTTGAACTGCCGATGAGGAAAGGGGTATTGGGGGTTTCTGCTGCAACTAAGGGGCTGTTTGGCAGGATCTGAATTTTTAAGAGCTGAATTTTTAAGAGGTCTGAATTTCTAAGAGGGTCTGAATTTTTAAGATCTGAATTTTCAAATACTGTTTGGTTGAAACCTCTGAATTACAGTGCTGAATTATAAAAATGACAATTTTACCCTTCTGTGTTATTTTTTGTTGAATTTAACGTTTTTGTTTATAAAATAACCGAATCAACTACTTGAATAATTATAAAAAAAATATAAAAACACCATATAAAATCTAAATTAAACATAAATGAAAATTAAACATTTATCCAAATCAAACATACCTCTATCATTACTTGATTATACTCAAAGCAACTAATTACAATAATACAAGAAAATCAAAGATTATACCACAAATAACAAACCTATTTCTTAATTGTTGTACCCAAAACAATTAAAAGCTCCAAAACAATGATAACCTAAAACATATCTAAAAAAGTAAAAAAATCTTCTATTCTCTTGTTAATTTTCACTTATTCCCCAAAATACCCTTTCCGTGTAAACCATAATTTTTTTACTTCAATCCATAATAAATATGATGTTAATGAATGCTTGGTATGAATCTTCTCCACTAATAGACACCGCATGTTCAAGATATAGCATCATACTTTCATTTAGTGAATCCATAACATGTTAATAATCAATTTCACAGATTTCAGCATAGTTTCACAAGATTTCACAGATTTTTCAGAATTAATAAGCATACTTTCATAGCATCATTTCAGAAAAACAACAAATCAAAAGAAAAAAAAATACTTCATTTGTTGTTGTTGGAAAGTAGAAAAACAAGAGAAACAACAAAAATCAAGATTTCACAACAATGTTTTTCACATATTTCAGCAACATTTCACAATAAAAACGAAGAGAAACAAGAAATCAGCAAGATTTTCAAAAAAATTCAAGAAAAAACAAAAAGAAACAAGATTTCACAGCAAAAACGAAGGAAAAAAAAACCCTGCGATTGCATAAAACTATACGCCATCTGATTTCAAAAAAAATAAAAGAAAAAAACAACAAATTTTCTATGAAATCACCCAATTCAGGGAAACAACAAAACTATACGCCATCTGATTTCAGAAAAAATAAAAGAAAAAAACAACAAATTTTCTATGAAATCACCCAGTTCAGGGAAACATAAACTTGCAAAAATCATCGGTATCAGAAAACGATAGCACATCTGAGTAATCACTGATTTCAGAAGTTATTTGTGTGTGTGTTGATGAGAATAAAAGACCGAAGGCATGATATTACCTGTAGAAGTCGTTGCACAAGTCGTCGGAGGTGGAGCCGGAGGTGCTGTGGCGTAGCAATTGGAGGTGGTGCCGGAGGTGCTGTGGCCTAGCAGTCGGAGCTGGAGACGGAGAGGAGGCCGACGACTGCGAAGACGGGGAGGGAACACAACTTCGATAGATCGATGGAGGTTTGTGTGTGCGTGTTGATGAGAAGAAAGGAGTGAGGCGTGATTTTGAGAAAAAAAGAAAGAGCGAGAACTTAAGGGCAGCTGCGTTTTTTTTTTTTTTCTTTTTTTTTTTCATATGAGGGGTGAAGTCATTTAATGTGTATTTTAAGAGGGTACCAAACAAGTCATATCTGAATTTTTAAGAGGTTAGCCTCTTAATTTTTCAATTAAGAGGTAAACAAACAGGGCCTAAGTTTTAAAGTTACAAGATTGTTTTTGTGTTTAGTTTTGAAAATCTTGGGCTAAATATGTGGACCCCTTAAAAGTTTTTGCATAAACTGAGGGTCTTAGGGTTCGGGTGGAGGTAGCATGTAAATTCAATTCACGGTATTTTTATTTTATAGCGGGGGTGTTTGGATTAACTTATTTGTTGTGGGAATAAGCATAAGCAATAAACAATAAGCAAAGGGGAGATGCTTATTAAAATTAGCTTATTTAGTTTATTCCTAATATAATAAGCTGATTTTTAAGAATTTTATCCAAACACTTAAACTTAACTTATTGTGATGGGAATAAACAATAAGCAATAAGCACCCTCTTTTTTTCCTATCCAAACAACCCCCTAAATTATGATGTTTGAGGTTTTAGTTAATTTTATATAGGGATAGGTTTGAATTTATTTTTATAAAAACTGTAAAATAATAGTTTTTTAATAAAATATTTTGGGGTTAATATCAATATAGCACAATAAACGTATGTATTTTGTCCGATTTGACAATTTACATTTTTTTTCTTGCGTAATAGACCATCGAACTTTTACTGTACATGTCAATTAAACCATTATTGTTAGTTTTTAACCATTCATCCGTTAACCAGTTATCTAAATTACACGAATGGCCCTTATTATTTAAATTTCTTTTGTGGTGGGTCCCTTACCAGCTATGGTTTTAAATTACACGACCAAAATTGCCACATTTATGAAACTCTGGGGACCAAAGTGTAACATTCTCATCATCTTCCTCTAATCCTTCTATTCTATAGTTCTTGAATATCTTTAGTGGTTCAAGGTTTGGGATCTCTAGTAGTAGGAGTGGTGCTAATATAAATTTGCAACCCAATGGTACAACTAGTTCTTCTGATTCTAATGGGAGTATTACATCCCAATTCTCTTCAATTTACTCTTTCCTTTTCAGTTCAATTTATACATAATTGAATCAGAATTCCACGATTTCTACATCCAGTTCGAATGGTACTGTTTATGGATCTAGAAGTGCAAATAGTGATGCGACGACAATGAATAATGATCTGCCAAAGGTATCAAGTTCATACCTTGGCTTCTTGCTATGCTTTATGGGTTTAAGACTAGAATTGTGCTTATTTTAGGGTTTTGAGTCCTCCTTGCAAGATTGAGCCACTCCAGTAGCTAAGATTGCTAGATCTTGCCCTTTTTGAGTTTATAAGTTCGTAAAAATGGTATCTTGATCCTTGTTTTTGGTCTGTGCATGTTCTAGTTGGATTTATATGGGTCTTAATGGATTAAGATGGTTGTTGGTCCCATTAAGACATGCAAATGCATAAAGGTGCCAACTTTATGCATTAAGAGCTTTATTTTATGGTTCTTTGAAGTTTGGGTGCAAAGTGCTTAAATGGTTAAGCCATAATATCAGTTTTGCAATAAGTCGGTTTACGAACCGCGTAATTGACCGTACGCCCAGCATACCGAGTGTTTGGTCACGATCTAGATTCGTCGAGTACCCAGCGTAGCTGAGTGTATGCCCCACGTACAGCGCTCAGCTGGGCTTTGGACTTGTTGTGTTTTTGGGCTTCGCATCTTTGGGTCACTTCTTTGGACTTTGTTGCTTTGGGCCTTTTGGTCCATCTGAGATCAACTTTTTGAGCTAAGGAATTATTAGACTTTAGGATAAGGCCCATATGGGGGTTTGGCCTAATTTTTTGTGGATCTATTGGTTTTGTGCCTTTTTGGTTTATGGATTTGGGCCTCAGTTTTGGTTTAAGCTGGGTCAGGGGTAAAATGGTCATTTTACCCCGAGTATGGATTTAGGCCTCAGTTTTGGTTCAAGATGGGCCATGGGTAAAATGGTCATTTTACCCTAAGTATGGATTATGGGCCATAGGTTGGAACCCAATTGCCATTTGGGTGTTATTTTGTGCTGATAGCTTGGGAAGTCATTAGGGCAGCAGCTAGGGATTTCTTTCAGTGAGCTTCAACATTCGAGGTGAGTCTCCTCACTGTTCTATGGGTTGAAGGCACCAATGCCGGCCTATTTGCTTTATGATTTATAGTAAGACTCGGGGGTGGCCCTCGGCACGTCTGGTCCGCCCTCCTCGGGGCCTTCAGCCTATCCGGACCGCTCGTTGGGCCTTCGGTCTGACTAGTTTTGCCTGGCCCGGGCCTGCAGTCTATCCGGTCCTCCCAGGGTGTCTTGGCCTACTGCACACAGCAGGACCTGCCTCAACCCTTTCCCCAAACCAACAAACATGTGCACATACATATAAACAAGTAAACATGCAGATCTAACAGATCACTAACATGTCAACCATCCTATAACCAAGATACCGATCTAACCGATCTCTAGCGTAGCAACCATCCTAAACCAGGATGAAATCTAGCATAGCAATAACATAGCAACCATCCTAAGCTAGGATGTAATCTAACATAGCAACCATCCTAAACCAGGATGAAATCTAACATAACAATAACATAACAACCATCCTAACCCAGGATGTAAATCATAAGGGGCCGACCTTGGTGCCGTAGACCCTGTTGATATAGTGAGGATAACTCACCTGACACTGCTGAAGTCCCACGGATGAAACTCCAGTTGCTGGTTGACAGCTTCCCGAACTGTCCACATCAAACAATACCCAATTAGTAGATGGGTTCAAATACCCAAGACCAACTCACACTCCAAAAGCCCAAAAGTCAAGTAATGGGCCAAAGCCCAATATATGGCCCAATATCACATAATCATAAAGGCTCAATTATGGCCCATCAATGGACCAATTTTCCAAATTGGGCCCAAGACTCTCACATGGGCCTTATCCTAAAACCCATATAATTATTCTAGCCCATTTGCTTATTCTTGGAAGTCCATTAATAGTTCAATCACCAAAGCCCAATAGGAAGGCCCAACTTAAGGCCCAAGTGGAATTAGGGTTTCCACATGAAATGACGATTAGGGTTATGTCACACCCCAAAACCGGAACGGCGGAATCGTTCGGGGGTGGAGGACGTCATGTACAGTATCACAACAATGCAAAGTAGTAAACAAGCAACAACATCATCCATTGCACTAATAATATAATTTTAATACAAGTGTGTTCTGTCAAGTTAAATAGACACCAAAATATGAATCAAAATAAAAGATGAGTCTTGAACGAGCTCCATCTTCTCAAAACCTGGCATCGATACCTGTCTACTGGTGACCTGAGAATACAAGTTATTTTGAAAGAGTTTATCAGCTTTAAAGCTGGTGAGATCATAAGTATATTAGTGTCTGTGTTTGTATGAAAGTGCTTGTAAGTATGTGATGTGTAAGTTTGTAAAAGTTTGTGAATTTTGTAAAAGGTTTGAATCTCCTAGAAAACCATATGTTTCCTACTAACAGTAGCCTTCTACCAAGGCATCTAGTGGTCGTGTGTGTGTCTCTTGTAAGAGTATGTATTTTCCCAAATCTGACTATCATTAATCAAAAATATAGTTTTTACATTACTGTATATTGTGTGAAGATCACAAAGTGAATGCAATGGGAAAAATGAAATAGTACTGTAGTGTTGTATTAAGTAACTACTGTTGTACTAACTACCTTAAACCAATTGTAATTTAAAGTACCATGTGATCGGCCTGTACCATACTATCGACTATAAACACGACGATGTAAGACGTCGGAAGGAATGACGTTTGGCACCCGTAGACTTGCAAGTCCCACTGTAGCGAGCAGCAAGGTGTAGGATAGTCAATCCAGTATAGATCTATACACAAACTCAACGCTCTCCATTTAAGGAGATTCTGGATACAAGACGGGCCATGACAGGTGATGCCATGCCCCGTTACGTGGCTCACATAACTGTATTAGTGCACTTGTGTATGTATTGAATGTACTAGCTGTATTGTATGTTCTCTCTCTGTCTAGTATGTATGTATGTTCTCTCTGTATGGTATTGTTTGTTCTCTCTCTGTCTAGCATGTATGTTTTCTTGTAAAATGTATAGTATGTACTAGCTGTATTGTAATGTACTGTATGTACTAGTTGTATTGACTCATGTATGAACTGACTCATTGTATGTTTCATTGTTCTAGTAATAGTATTAGTAACTCCCTAAACTACACCTATTATAGTTTACTAGTAATATGATTTGCATGTATGAACATGTTTGTATACCTTTGCTACCCAAAGGTATTGAATAGAAAGAAGGAACCTTTATATCTATATACATATACATAATGTATAACTAGGATTCAAACGACCTTCGGACAAATAACCGATACCCTAAGCCCACAACCAAACGAGGAACATGAGGTAAGGTGAGTTATCAGTCCTAAGTCCTTTCAATCCTACTTATATAACTATATCTATAAAGATATACATTTAACAGAATATAAGTGTAAAAGAGTTTAAATAAAAGTATTTGACATGTAAAAGAGTTTGATAAAAGTATTTGACATGTAAAGGAGCTTGTAAAACAGTTTGAAAAGTAGTTTGTTTGATAACACAGTTTGAAAGTAAGAAATCCACTTGTTTGGTAGTTATTAATCACATGTGATTGATATAATAACTATAATAGATCAACTTGTATCCCCCCTATAAAAGCATTTAAAATCATTTAAAAGATTGATTAAGGGGTATGAACTCACTTGTAGTGAGTGGTTTGGATGAACGGATGGTATAGGATGCTAGTGTCAAGTGAAGACTTGACACACACAAGGATCCTAGTTAACATATAATAACACATATATGTATCCAATTAGTCATTTAACAACTAATTAATCAAGTTAAGACACCCTAGGACATGAAAAACACCATGATTCAAGTGCTATAAGTACTAAGGATTGCATCTAAGGGTTGTAGGGCCTTGCATTTGAGTTTAGGGTCCAAGGGTAAACTCTTTATGAGT